ATATATATATATATATATATATATATATATATGATATATATATATATATATATATATATATATATATATATATATATATATATATATATATATATATATATATATATATATATATATATATATATATATATATATATATATATATATATATATATATATATATATATATATATATATATATATATATATATATATACTTTTTTTTTTGAGGGGGGCGGTGCCCTAATAGAGCTTTATGTCAAGCAACGCTTCTGGTGCATACTTGTCAACATTGGTATGTGAAAAGAGATATGTCCACCATAATACGGGATTCCCCTGACCCCTTTAAAAAATCTCTAAATTACTAAATATGTTTGTTTGGAGCTGTTTTGTTACAAATAAACAGTTAAATGGTCAGTAATATGTTTCATTATTATTTACAACAAAAAAAAAAGATACATTAGCAGCAAATAAATTAGGAAACAGTTCTGCTTATTAAAATTAATAGCTATTTTAATGAAATAGAATCAAATCTTATTAGCCGTTTCTTCACTGTGTGAATACACATTCTGATTAAAGAGCAACGAATGAATGATTAATATAGTTTTTTTTTTTCGTTTGATTACATTAATTAACAGGTGTCACGACTGCATTCCTAACAGTTTATGCTCATTTAGGACGAAATTACTTGTGTCTGAAAAAAAACAAAACAAGATCAACATCTTTAGATATTAATATTATTAATTATGTGTATATATCTGTTTAAACATGCACCCAAAACCCCAGACTTTTGCTCCGCTTCAAATCGCGTGTACAGAATCCGTTTGGGAACACCGTCTATTTATCACTATGGAGCGTGTAGCTGACAGTCACGCACCGCTATATGACTTTTTTGAGCATTGCATATGAAGGGGAGACAACACTTGTAATGAAAAGGAAGGGAATCCCGCCGTTTTTTATGTTCATTTCAAAGTGTTTTCGTGCCTAAACAAAGCGAAAGCACAGAACAGACTCGCATTTAAGAGCAAGGGGCGGCCCCTGGTGGTTCGGCGGTATGGGTTGCGAATAGGGAGGCTCGACTCTTTAATGTTTATTCCTTCAGAGAAACACTGAAAATACTGGAGAAATATGGCATAATAACTTTATGGGATGATAGCGGGATAGAACTGTAAAATACAGGAGAATCCCGGGAAAAACAGGAGGGTTGACAGGTATGCTCTGGTATATTCACACACTGCTAACACACTTTAAACCACTTAAAATAGTGATATTAATAAATATTTTAATATTTATTATATATAAATATATAAATATAATAAATATTTAAATATCATTAAATATTTTGGCATAATAGACTGAGGTTGAACCCGGAAGTATCATTGGGAGTTACATGTTGCGTAACTAGCTAAATATCGTATCAGCGAAGATAAAGTCACACACATTTATAATTTCTCCGCCTTCCGGGTGACCCAAAGGTCCGTTCTGAATGAATGGTGAATGTAAAAAGGGATATCAGAGCTCATTTTCAGCTAAGTTAAGGGAAATGGCACTTGTTAGCTAACGTTTTCTTTCCCAAACACACTTTTTAGATGCCATCCCTGCTGAAAAATCCAGCTTAAACCAGCCTAAGCTGGTTTTAGCTGGATTTTTCAGCAGGGAT